AAGAGGAGAGAGAGGCCTTTATGAGCAGAATGCTTGGTGGCAAAGCAGGAGCAAAAGTGCTGAGGCCTCATCTTTTGGGGAAAAGACTGGAGGACCTAGCGAGAGTTCCATTGCTTCTTCTTTTCTTTTGCACCCTGTGGAAAAAGGGCAAGTTGAGGAGCTTTCCTGACACTGAAACAAAATTGTATTTGGCGATTGTCCAGTACGTTTTGGATTACAATCAAGGGAAAGAGTCTCCTACTCGCTTTGGCAAAGTACACGTTTTCAAAGTGGTCCTCCCTGAAATCGGAAAGGTGGCTTTAGAATGTATTTTGAAGGACCATTTGTTCGAGTGTGATCAGCTGCCCGTTAGCATCCATTGGTTCCATTTATGCAGAAATCCATCGACCAGCAGGTATGGTGTCCTTTATCCACAAGAGGGTTCAAGAATTCATAACAGCGTGGTACATCACGTACACATGTCTTCCTGGAGGAAATCTCGGTGGAATTGAACAACCCGTCGACACCTTTGAGAAGTGTGAGACCATGGGGAGTGTTTTCCAGTTCATTTGTGGTTTGTCGGACAATGGAGCAGCGAAGGTTTTTCAGCACTTGAATTCAGTCAGGATCTCTGACCCAACACTGTTTTTTTTCAAAGACAATACCAGGTGAAGAAAACGAGACAGACGTGCCACTGTGTGTCCTCACTTACTCGCATATAAGGTTCCTTGAGTTGGTTTATGATTGTTTTCAAGAGGTTCAGTCAAAAGCTGCACTGGTGAGACATTGGTCTGACCACACAGCTGGCATCATCCTGGTTGGAAAATGTATCGTCGAAATGTAACATAGGCACGCAAGGCGTGCAAGAATTCTTTCTTTCTCTGTTTTAAAAGCCTCTAAAAAGAAGTATCTAATCCAATAGAATTTTGACAGTAATGGTTGGGTCGATCCAACAAGTTTGCTTGGACGTGAGGTACTGCAAAGTACGAATTTAGAATTTATGACGAGCAGTAAGACAAGGAGCGGGATTTTTTTTGGTTGACATTTTGGGGTTAAAGAAGACAAAACTTTTCATCTTTTTAATGTGATATCAAGATTAATTTTATTTTTACAATTCGACCACTAGCTTTGTAGTCAGCAATAGTAGGTAGTAGCGAGATCAGGTAACAGATCCTACAGCAAACGGTATTAAAGGGTGGATTGGAGTTGATTCTGGGTATATTTTGTAACTCATTAAACAAGAAGTAACTTAATTATAACATCGTTACGCGATACAGTAAAGGTAAAGTCTGCATACAGTGTACGAGCCAAGTGGCCCATCATCCAGCGCTTACCTCTGGTTTCTGTAACACGAAGCGACTAGGAGTATTTCTACTCCGCACTGGATGGGATGCTGGCTTCCATCGCAGGGTTACCCCCCGGACATAAAATTTTCCGGTACTCAATTACAAAGGCACTGTGAGAATAAACTGTCTTCCCCAAGAATACAGCACAGGCTCTTACGGGGTGAAAAAAAATTTCACGCCACGCCCAAAAATTAGGATGTTGGTATCTCTTTGGGGTTCAGTTTCAAAATTGCCGACGAGCACCCGCGTCCTTTTTATATG